CAGCGCTCTTCTCGGGATTACGATATGCCGACGGTTGACAGGGAGACTACGTCCCCCTGCCTGCTCGGTGGTAGTGTGAGTACACGCCGAGCCCGTCCTCCTTTCTCCACCGCTGTCAGCGGAGAAACTGTGGCCCCTACAGGGCCCCGCCATCTGGTTTTTTACCGAGGTTTCCTCCTCCATGCTCCGAAGAGCGAAGAGCCAGCAGGGCAACCGGCAGACACGCCCACCCTGCTGGACCAGGCCTTGCCCGAGAGCCGATGAACGGCTGCCTCTTCTGCTAGAATATTGGCCGCTGGCGATAATCCTCTCCTCCAAGAGGACAAGGAGGGAACAGTACCATCGCCAGCGTTTCCAGGGTGCACCACGAGGAGGTTTTCTAGCCCAGCACCCCAAACAAACCCTATACCAACCCGTCTGGCCAGCGTGGTATAGTAGGCCTAAACCTCCTTTCTAAGGGGAGGCCTATGTCCAGCAGTGGACTATTGAAGGCTGTTGATGATGATGATTGATGATGATAAGTTAGTTATATTAAGTTGTATGCTGTTCTCTTGCAGAATAAAGTTTTTTTTTTTATTTTTTTTTTTATTATTGTACCTGTACTCGGTCGCTCGTACCTCGCACTTAATAACAGCGGTTCCCGGATACCTCCTATTGCAGGCGCAGAGTGGCACACCGTGTGGCGCAGGTTTGAGACACTATTTGTGTTTGGGGTCTATCATAGTTACCAGAGACTTTAATTATTATTTTTTATAAATTTTGCTGTAATTATCAAACAATGCTAAGCCAGAGGTTGTGGGTTCGATTCCCACCCAGGACAAATATGGTATGAGAGCACGATCATTTGTTCTGAGTTTGTGTGTAATTTATCTATAATATTAGTATTTAGAAATATATACCTAAATATGTTTATAACAAACCTTAAACCAAACTGACTGGTCAGCGTGGTTTACTAGGCAAAAACCTAAGAAGAGGTCTTTGTCCAGCAGTAAGTTGTACGGAAGTAAGTTTTCACAGGAAATATGGCTCTATAAAAGAGTATAAAAATACTACTAGCACCATTGGCTCCTACAAAATGAGAACTCCGGTGCACAGTTCCGACACCTTGAACTACACGTCACCGTCGCCGCGTCCGCGTCGCTTGCAATCTTCTTCACGTTCATTGTAAAGTCATTAATAGTTCTCCACGCAGAGCCTTGTGTTATAATTTTGACATTGAAAATCTATTACTATATAGTAAATTTAATTGCCTCTGCTTTCTTGAAATTCCTAGCTATTGTTATCCGAAAACATTTTCTGGTAAATGACATATTATAAATATATATTTCATACATAAAAAATACATTAAAATGTAAACATGGAAAAATGGATTTATCGTAGTTTATATAAAAAAAAACGGAAAAATATCTTGTATTACCTCCTGAATTAGACAATACATATTTATTTTAGAGAAACACTTTTCTTAATATTTCATGGATTTCCAGTACGAGTGCCAGAAACATCATATTGCAATTGTAAGAGCACTCTGTCATGCCTGGCATTGACTTAAGGTATATTCTAAGAGGCTTCATTCTATGCGCGTCGCTCAGCTCAAACGGGCGGTAGTCACACAGAAAGAATTTAAATACAAACTCACACCATTATCAAAATACTGTTAATCTTTAGTTAGCTAAATTTAGAAATAAAGAAATTGCTTTACATCTGATAAATGATTGAAATTGTCCGTATCACCACAAGCTTGTCACACAAGCTCCACACGGAACATAAGCTGGAAGAACATAGGCACCATAAAAAGCTGCTTTGTCTTTCAAAAATAAAAAAAAAGAGTGTACCTTGTGTTTAGTACAAATCGTTGTGTTTTTGCCTAATAAAATATATGCCCATCTACGAAATTATTTTACATTATTTATCTACGATAATATGCTAGTAATATTATTATGTAATCCTTAATAGTTTAGTGGTGTCGCTGTTATAAGAATTGCTTACTTTACTTACGGTAGAGCCAAGACTGGCAGTGATTAGACAACACTCAACAGGTGACTGCGAACAGTGCGACTCATAGAATGTACTTTGTGCAGGAAATCGTGTAGGGAAAAATATTATTTATGGCTGTACATTTCTTAATTAATTAGTAGCTCAATTAAAAAGTTTTCGTACGGAGCGAACCAAGTACGACCCCAGTGATATAGTTTGGAGGTTCAGGATGAAGGCATATCGAACGCGCGCACATACACCCTTAAGCATACTTATAAACTTTCACATTTTAAATATGAAAGCAGAGCCCTGAACTAACTGCACATAGTCGAAAGTAAGAAACCGATTGTTTTATTTTTCTAAGGTAAACTGCCTGGTCTTTCGATTGGCTACCAATCCCCGTAATTGCTTTTTTTTCTTAAAACGAAATCGACGAAACCAAATTGTTTTAAAAACAATGTAAACTGAATTTCCTACAGGTTTACTCTTTTGGATTCCGACACAACTACCAGTTCAACGTTATACTCCAGTTCCTGTAGTTCCTTTGGTAGGCCAAGCTCCCCTTCCCCCCTTGCCAAATTTTCGAAATTATGTTCACATTATCAAGCTAATAATAATAGAATAAACAGTTTTAAGAAATTTCTTTTAACAATGTTGCCTTTATTTCTTTTGACTTAAGTTAATACTGGTGTTTTTTTCTGTCCAAAATGTTTTCATCTGTAATATCCATTTTAAATGATATTAGGGCTTTACCTATGAAGTTGGAGATTTGTATAAAAAAAATAAAATATGAAATTTTTGGCTAATCAAAGTACTGGCCCAAATTATCTATACAATTTTAGCATATTGATGGCAGTTTGTGTATCTCTTTACTGTAGAATTCTGCTGGACGAGAGACGATGAAATCAGTGAAAGTCTTTTGAACTATGTATATGTTAAGTTTCTTCCCACTTAAAAAGTTGTATAAATTTTGAAAAAAGTAGTAATCTGTTGGGGCACGGTCTCGCTCTTGTTCTTCTTCTTCACACTAACGTCAAAGCCCGCAGCAAGCTCAGCCGTAGATTGAGTTAGATCCGCCTCCACTATCACCTTCAAGTTGTCGTTGTCAACTTTAGTTACCGGCCGATCTCACTATTTCCAGATCTAAAACGATTGAACCGTGATTAACTATTATTGATTTTGATTTAATTAATGGACCGTGTTTATGCAGGCAGTGTTATTTTGCGTTGTTTGCGCAGCGGTATTTAGACGTAAGAACTCATATTATTCAGTTCCGATTCTTCAGTTTTTCCATGGTGCCACAAACTACCACAAGTTCATAAAAACAAAACACTGTCTAAAACAAGTGACTGAATTTTAAATTAAAACAACATAGTTTTCTAATAAAATTTACTTGAATTTTGAATTACGTGCCAATACACAAATAATTAAATCTGAAAATGCTTGTTTTAAAAATCTCCAACTTGGTCACCACCATTTTTTTTCTTTTTAAATAAAGGATTATATGCTCAGTTCTGCGAATATTTTCTAAATATGACTATATGGTTTTATATAGCCATATCTATAAATATAGGAACATTTCAATTTCAACAAAAAAATAACTAAAAACTCCTGTTTTGCCTCATCCTGTTTTTCCATTTTGGAATATACGACGCTGCGCATCTTTATACTTCAAGATCAACCCGAGGTACATGTTACAACTCGGAAACTCGATGTCACCATGAAATTCCTTATCAAGGTCTGCTCTCAAACTCTATTTTCAAATAATCGTAAAGTGAATAGTATTTTTCTAATATTAATAAGAAGTAAGAGCGTCAATTCAGTTCAGTGCAATACTTTATTTACCTAAACGGAATGTACTTGAGAAAAATACGGAAGAACAGATACCGAGTTCATAACAACTCAATTATACTTGTTATGCATCAGTCAGAGACGAATTTAGTAGGTTGATTACTACACGAAGGGTAACTGTTTAAATACTCAAGATTTTACAAAAAAAAATGGTCGACCTCTGTTCTAATACTTTAAATTCAATTAAAACGACGGCCAGATCCAGTTCAGGCCATCATATTATTTGGGTGAGGGTTAATTTTTAAATATATTCTAAATTATTTCTGTTCAAACGAGAAAGTTGCTTATTGTGCGTTTAGATAACGTCCTTCGTTTGTCATTAACTTTACCTTCCTACCCTGGTTTTCACACGTTAATGTTCAACTGTTTAAAGAAACAATCTATAGACTAATGTAATTGGCTTACATCAGAAAAATCGGATTTGACACCTTAGTAGAATCATCATCAACAGCCTTTACTAGTCCACTGCTGGACATAGGCCTCTCCTTAGAAAGGAAGTTTACCTTAGTAGAATAATTTATAAATAATTGCCACTATTGAAAGAAAGAAAGAAATAAAAATACTTTAATTGGCACATTTTACAGGATTGTTATTGTTGTTTATTGACAGCATATAAGGTTCCAATATCTGAAATAAAAAGATATCTACATCTCATCATTTATTTATTTGTCAAACAACATAATTGCATATTGATGAGTTATACGATGATGAAATCTAGATGTCAGTAAAATGTATTGCGATATTGTTTCATTGTGTTAGATATAGGCTTATAGTCGATGGTGAGGAAATGAATACTACACCGAATATTAATAGACGCTAATATGTCCCAAAATATTAGATAATTCATTATATAGCTATTTTATCTGGTAGTTATTTGACATCTTAAATCATAATCCAAGTAATGACGGAATACATTCATCACTGTTAGTTACAAGTCTTATATAACATAGTGCTAAACTAAGGACATCTGAAAAGACACACGTGACGAAAGTGTGCATGCATTAGCAGCTACAGATGCGCCGCTGGTCCTGATGATGCAGGTGATGCACAGCTGATGAGTGCGAAGGGTGTTGGCAGAGGTGCGAGCGGTGTGGGTGAGCGGGGCGAGCGGGGCGCAGATTGAGGCCACTATTTAACCGCACGACAGCCGCGCAACGACCTGTTGTGATCCCGTCATGGCGCTCTACGCCCGTGTCGCTACTCTGGCCGCGTGCCTCTTGTTTGCCTGCGGTGAGTCCTAACCTTTATTTACGCATCCAGACACCGTCGATCTTGCGACGTCACGGGTGACAAGATGTCACATTCGTACTTCTGCCAATAATTTTGTGATCCCGTCAATATAGTGTCACACTTAGTGAACAGTGAAGTTGTCCGTTCTCGACCATCGCGAGATAGACAGTGTCTACGCAAAGTTTACGAATGAATGCAGCCGACCGCGATCGCCTTCCATCGATCGGCCAAAGGACAACAACGCACACCCTTCAAGGATAGTCACTCATATCTGTTTCGTGTATTCGCTCTCCACTCTTCGAATGCAGTGATATTGTGAAAACTTTTGGTCTAATTGAATTTCGTGATGCATCAACTAAGCGTTCTAATATTACGAAAACAAATAGCTGGTTGCATATTTAGTTTTGGTAACAATCACTGAACATTCGGTCCACTTGGATTCGTGTTTCACGGCCTATCGAAAGTGCTTGAATATGTAAGTTGTAGAATCATGTAACGAGATGCAACCAGGATCTATCTTCAATGATTACGTTAGAGGTTGTAATTAGGACGTATTTAGTTAAAGTATTGGTTAGCACCTGCTGTGGCTGCGCACTGCGGTTGCAGAGAACTTTCACATTCGTTCCGTGTTGCGCTACACCTTCGCCCGCAGTGATGACGTCACATTCTACATAGTGTCGAGGGCAGCGAGACTGCTACGACAAATATGATTCGACGACGTTATCAACTGTCGTAAGGGTTATCGTGAACTAACAAGTAAAATAGGCAGAAACTCCATCAAATGACCGATTTCACTCGTCGTTTTTGTGATTTTGCGGACGTATTTGTGCGATTTAACCTAAACATAGAATATTACATCACACATCGTCTTCACAGGTAAACAAAGCATTAAGCATCAGTTTCAAACCAAAGTTTCAAGTCAAATTGAAAACCATAAAAAAGTTAGTGTATTCAAGGTTAAATCACTTGTGCCAGAATGTTCATTACAAAAGAATAACATTTCAGTTTTACTTATAATATTTATTTGCCTTATTTATGATACCTCCTCTTACATAATGGAATTCATTGATTTAACAAGCATTAGTTCGTAAAAAAAATTGTGGAAACAAAAATTTTTAATATAATAATATATAGTAATAAATATTCGCGGAACTATATTAATTATAGGATTTTCAAAACCATGTACAAAAGTACATCAGTAACGTCTCTTATGAACAATTAGTTCTGGCAAAAATAATCTCATACACCCTGAAACAAGTTTACGTGATTCCTTAGCAGCGGTACATATTCATAAGTGATATTTTAGTTGATCTCCAGCGCGCCCCCTACACCGTTGAAGTAAGGTTTAGGTATTTAGAAAAACTATCGCCCCGATCGTCAATAAACTAAATATACTTACACACAACCTTACTCTATTAATTATGAAATATCTGTTAAAATAATTTCATTTAAAAAATTACAAAATTTGAATTCAAAAAATATGTAAATGATGTAAATATAATTGTTGTACGGCTACAAATAGAACGGTGCATTAATCGAATTCGTAGATGTAATAAAATGGTATTAAATAGTTTAATCGAGTCGTGTTAAAACTATTTTACTTAATTAACCTACAAATAAAAATTATGAAGCGATTTCTTTATTGTTAAACTAGGTCAGCACAATGTTAATGTATACATTACATATTTCTTTTAATTAAATAAATTAAAAATTATGAAGAAAAATTCTTATCATTCAATAATTTCAGTTTATATGTAACTGTACATAACTTTATGTGGATAGCCAGTTGTAACTTTGGTTGAAAGTGTTGCAATAATAACAAAAATATGTCGCGACGAGATTATTTTCTCCGATAAGAACAATGAATATGGAGAAACTTCGCGTGCTGACACAATACGTATTAAAGCAACCATTATATAAATATTGGCAAACTATTATGAAGTTTATTTATCAGTTGTCCACATGTTATTTCCAGATCTTTGGGTCTGTAGGTCACATCGGTTGCGCCACGTGAGTGATACATAGACAGGCTTTGACTCCAACTCAATGTTGTGTTGAAATACATCGATGCATAGTGTTAGCGAATGGACAAAATGTTTTTTTGCACACTGTTCACGGTTTCACTTAATTTGTAAACAGTTTGAAAACAAATTTGTATGTCTGAAATTTCTCAAAAATTGATGAATTTATGTCACGTTAATAAAAGTATGCTCCCGGCATTGTGACATCATAGAGACTATGATAACTGAAAATAACATATAGACAGAAATATTTTTTCTTGTCATTCCTTACATATTAATAAGGTTTTTCGTTATTTTATTTAGAGTTATATTTGAGTATTTTTTATAAAACATTATTACATTTTTAGGGTTCCGTACCTCAAGAGGTAAAAAAGGAACCCTTACAGGATCACTTTCTTGTCCGTCGGTGCGTTTGTCCGTCTGTCCGTGTGTAAGACCTTGCTTTTAACCAAAATTGACAGTTCTAGGTCAACCGGAAGTACCCTATAGGTTTTGGGTCGAAAACCTATATGGTAGTTCCCGTTAGCACAAATAAGGGAATAGTTTTTCAGCACAAATAAAGGAATAATTCCAAAAAATAAAAAAACTTCAAAATTAAGATAAATTATGGTACTTACAAATTTTCGCGAAAATCTACGTAAAATCTGGGTAGGTACGGAACCCTCGGCGCACGAGTTCGATTCGTACCTGACCGGTTTTTTCTATAGTAGAAGTGTACAAGAGAATTAAAAGAAATATTTTTATACGTGTCATAATAACTTAATAGAAGTAATCTAAGCACCAATTATACTTACGAAGTACTCATTACAAATGCTATTTCAAATAAAAAGAGACCACATACATACGTTAACTTAAAAAAGCGTGTTGTTCAATCTCGAATTCCATTTTTTTTACTTTTTAGTTGTATAAAAATTAAAACAAATGATCGACGTTTATCTATTTAAATCGATTTGACCGTTTAAGTGAAGTTTATAACTTAAATAAATTCATAGCACACATTCTTCTATACCTTGTAACAGTTATCATTTTGCAAGGTCCTCCATACTTTAAATTAGTATAAACAAAGGGCCCTGGCCTCTACTATCAGCTTCATGTTAAAAATCTGCCAAAATATCTGTCAGCTAATTTCCACAGTTCATGCGCAACCTTTCGACAGTTACATAAAATAAATACAAGTGAATGTTGATGTTGCTTAATCCATTCGCCTATTACTTATACATACACACATGCTTATCTATACGTTTTGATTATATTGGCCTCACTCATACGTTATGTACTTACATGGCATTAACAAGATTGACGTGAACATTTCTAACTAACGTTTCACCTATCAAAACTGTCGTGTTATTTGTGGCCCACTTAATAGACCCGAGTGATCCTACTCTGTCTCAAAATGCTTCATTTTTCTTGTAAAAATGTCAAATGTCAAAATGCTTGTTTTGTCAGATCCGAGCATTTTTTATCAATGTACGTAATGAAACGTTTTAACATACTTTTCAACAACATCAAAAAATCCGATTTAACTGAAAGTTTGCACGTGAAAAAGGAAAATAACAGACTAAAAGGTAAATTATAGTTTAAAATGACTGAAAATAATAAATTGAAAATAATTGTTGAGTGTAGGAAACTAGTATGCTTAATATCAAATATCACAAATAATTAATCGGTACTTATTAAATATTTATAAAAATATACTTGCTTTGGGTCAATAAACTTCCTGAAGCTCAGGCAAAATAGAAACTGTTAAAAGTTAACCATAAAAATGTTATTTCTCCATAACCAGACATCACCAAAGTTTAGATACTATTATTTTCATGGTCAAGTTTATTCATACAAATGCCTACTGGCATCCTGTACCCTTAACTAATGATATCAGTGAATATATTACAAAACAAGAAGTATTAAAAAATAAACAGGATGTTTGTTATCACCTTACATAATGTTGTTGATTTCTTCTCGGAGGCAAAGTGAAACATGAAGTGAGATTAAATTGGCTGTACCACAGAGGTCGTCACCGTGATCATATGTGAGTGACGTAGACAAGGTGAACGCTGTTTACTTCCGCGTACGGAAGTGTCGCACGTCTCCCGTTAGCAAAAATAACCTCCGCTCTAAGGGAGTGCCTATTTGTTGCAGAAGGAAAGTCTAGTGGTGGAGCTGAATATTCATGAGGCCGGTCGTTGGTATTCCAACAACGCGCCCGGTCGATGCCCGGACCTACTCGGACCCACTCATTCTCACATTCATCGTTTGCTATTCATACTGTACACAATGCCTACTTGTGACCAAACACGTCTAAACGACAGTATAGATAATTTAATATAATTAGATTATAATATGAAATAAAGGAAGTGTTTTAGTTCGATTATATTTTTATGTTCCATTACCAGAGAACAAAATAGTTATGTTAGACTAACTAACAAAATAGATTAATTGAAAACTTAAAATAAATTCAAATTATTCATTTAATTTACTAATGAATGTTTTAAAAAAACTTCTTCATAATTTGGACAGAATAAAGTGCCTTTGTTAAAGTTATTCAATCACACTTAAATATAATTAAAATTACAAGATAATAGTTGTAGAACTTAAAATCGAAAATTTCAGTTCAATAAAAAAATAAGACAAAACAATACTAACAATTATGTAGTTCGATACAATAGACATCAACGCGCTTCGTTCTATCAATCGTAGGCGCTTACATCTTGCTGAGACTTTTATTTTCATAAAGGACTAAACTTTTGAAACTCATGTTATGTTATATCTGCTACTTCTCTCATGTAAAGATTAATGGATTTAACAAGTTGTCGCTATGTCATAGCAACACACACGATAGATCCGGGTTGAAAAGAGCTAGTTAGTGTAAATACCTCTAAAAACTTTGGTATGCTCCAGTATCACAGTATATTTTGTGAGTATTAACTGTCGAAATTTACTTACAATTTATGATTTTTTGTTTTTGACGTAAGAATTGTTTTAACTAACTTTTACACTGTATATAGTTTCAAGGTCAATCTGCTTAAGTTAAAAATGCTATGTTCAATATAATATTGTCACAAATGGATGTGCCTTAATATTTTTTTAAATATTTAGTTAGTATAATCATAGTTTTAAATAATTTTAAATAGTCACGTTCTAAATTACTATTTAGTAAAGAGGAAAAAAAACATAATCAGTCACCAATTTTGGATTTCGCTGTTTACGAGTATTGTGCAAACCGATAACTTTATATAGAACAATGATAATAACATAATTATGTGTATGAAAATACAGACATGTCGTGTACTAATTAGATACCGATTGTAATCTCAACGAGTAAATCAATTTAATTGCTTTTTTGTAAATAATCTTAAGACTTATAGCCATTGTATTACATCTTTAATCTCTAGAGAATAAAATTTAGGTAACGTAAATTAACTAGGTAAATGTTTTTTTTTTAAATTAAAAATAATTTAAATGTTGTGGTAAATGCAACGCCTAGTGCAAGCGAGACAGTTAGATAATGGTGTGAGAGTTCAATTTCCTAGTGTTACGTGTTCCTCGCTCACACGGCTCACACACGCATCTACAGAAAAGTACATATTTCTTATTGCCTGCCTACAGTTGACACTCGCAACTTCGTCGAAAACTTTCGTGGCTGTCTTAGCAACTGTCGCTACTGATAGAACGCCGTCGGTGTGTTTAATCATTTGCTTAACATAAATCATGCATCATCATTAGCTTCTACATTTTACAACTGAACTAATATAAAATTATGATAAAAAGTAGTTTCCTAATAGGCATATCATCACGTTGTTAGGTATATACTACGCTTCGAGGAGATCGACTATACCGTAACCTTTCCGAATTATAATAATTTCGTCAGACTAATCGACACACAAATCAAATGCCACGCATAATGTACAATTTTGTACAGACAGAAGACATAGAAAGAGTCGTCCTTGTCGCTTGCCCAAGCGCTGACATTTCGAAGCGAGTCAAATGTCATGACCCCACCTTTGGCATTTAGACACTTTATTCGCTTCCAAGTGACATTTTACTTCTAATGTGGAAAAAACGGTAAATTGTAAATGTTTAACCATAAGCCTTATACTCGTATTACGTAAATATATTTGACGACCTAACCAGATTATGTTTTACGTGAAACCGCATAGTTGTAGTCGAGTTATAGACAGTACTCGTACCACAGGCAGTTATTTACAGATCCGTAATTACTACCCTTGAAACTAAACCTTAGCCGACTTCGATATTAGTAATCGAATATTGTAATCAGTTATTTAATTGTGAATTATTTATGCAGCATCAGCAGATACGGAACGGATGCACCGATGGCGGCGACAGGCAGAGAACGCCACAGCTAAGAAAGAAGACAGTTTGGAACAAGAACTCTGCAAGAGCAAGGACGCCGGCGAATGGTTCCGCCTGGTGACCGGCGATGGCGACAGCTGTCGCGACGTCATTCAGTGCACTGCCTCCGTAAGTACCATCCATATATAGATTAATACTTTTACACACATTCTCCAGTAAATACGTCCTTATGCCAATACTATGCGGAATGTGAGCTACTTTCAAACTGGATCACATTGAGAATATTAAAGACTTATTATAAAAAATGTACGTAGTTATTTTGAATTATATGTTGCTTAATCGCTGAGGAATTTTAATACAAGTACGGCTAAGGTAGTATAATTAAAAATATGCGAAATGCAATAAACGTTAGAAATTTGTCCTCAATATAAACAACAGAGCATTGCGTATTTGTGGGTAGGTATTACTGCTGCGTTCTTACGCCATTCAAGGTAATGTAAGAACACGCAAACCGCGCGCCGGCCGGCTTCACCCGCTTCTTATAAAGATTATTGTTATAATTATTCAAGTTGGCACAATATCCCATACGGATGTCTCTGCTTTACATATAGTAACAAAAAGTAAAACATTTTCAATATTTCTTTTCTACAAACTTAATAGTTCGGCATGTGATCCAAAACCACATATAAGAAGACAATTTTGGCATACACATACACTAGTTACTACAAACTATAGTTAATATTATTTCATTGTTATTTAAAACGTAAAAACAACATTTTACTTCAGTGAAAACAAGTCAGATAAATAAATACAAGTATGATGAAATAAAACCTTCCAATTATTTATTTATAGTCACGTGCTTCTTGTTATTACCTATATAGACTCGAACCTTGACAGTAATTCTGTTATTCTTCTACTGATAAATACGGTTAAATATAAAAACTTGTTGCTGTTAGTTCGAATTAAAATATCGTCGAATTAAAATAACCGAATCCATAAACTTTCCTACTCACCTATGTATTTATTTAAAGTTTATGCACATATTTTGTACACAGGCAGGCTTAATGCCAAAGGTATTCTCTACCAGTTAACCTTAACGCATTGTGGAAATAAATTAAGTATTTTGCATAGCTGCAAGATATTTAGATGAATATAAATGTTACAGATACATTACATTTTCAGTGTTACTAGAATTTTATTTCACTTAGGGCCTTCTTATTCATTCCCATAGGAAATTCATTTAAATGTCTTAAACTTCTGTTCTGGTAAGTTAATAAAACAAAAAGTCTATTTGTGACAGGGTATCCAAGCCATCCGTTGTCCAGCTGGTTTGTTCTTTGATATTGAAAAACAGACCTGTGATTGGAAAGACGCAGTCAAAAATTGTCAATTGAAGAGTAAGGAGCGTAAGGCAAAGCCTTTATTATACACTGACGAGCCTCTGTGTCAAGACGGTCATCTCGCTTGTGGGGACAGGAACTGTATCGAGCGTGGTTTGTTTTGTAACGGTGAAAAGGACTGTGCTGATGGTTCTGACGAAAATACTTGTGGTGAGTACGTCTCCAGTTACCATATTAGTTCACATTACTTGTAATTTTACTTTGATTCGCTGTGCCTACTACTATTACACTACTACAAATTTACTCATATATATATATATATATATAAATTTAATATATTACTATTATTATATTCAAATAGACTATTAAAAATACCACGATTTCCTTTTTACTTATTATAACAAATTTATTATTAGATGCAATAAGAAAGTAAAATTTAAATAAGCAATTGAACTTGAATGTACAAATTCTCAAATAAGAACTGGGTCGTTAGACGTGACCGGCCTACCTACCTGAAATGCCAATCACTTGGCATAAAAAACATCTCAATGTTATGTCGTAACGTTCAAACAGGGTACTTAATTAATTGATTAAACTAATATTTCGGGTTATTCATATCACTTGTGTATATTAAATGTTGCTTAGAAAGCTCTAGATTCACATTTCACAAACATTCAACATCAGTAGGCTGTCGGCATGCATCGAATCACCCACACGGCTTATAGAATAAAATTCCCTGCCTCGCTATATGACTTGAAATCACTTTGAATTATAATAAGGTACCTGACTCGGATTCGAAACTCCGTTCACCAGTTACTAGGACCCTGGATTGGAAGTGCGTCACCATTATTGTACCTCACGTATCAATAGTGAATTTATGTGCATATCAACAAAGACTTCCAATAAAATTAATTCTCACAGCCAAAAAAAGCGTCAATACAGTTTATTGAATTTGAAATCTGAGTATTCATTCGTTATTTTTGTAGGGTGTTTTTTTTACAAAAATACGATTTGGGCATTATGTAATATGTATTACAAATTGCTTAATATAGCTAGCTGTATCAAAAGTGAAATCCAGCGTGTGTCAGCTTTGTCGAGTAATTTGATCGAGCGAAAGTACCCATACTGGTTCCGACTCTCGCCCCGCCCAAGATTCACATATTATGCTGGCGAGTGCAGCTATACACGACTGGTATACAGATAATGTAACCCTCATTGGTAAACATTGTATGTATTACATTACTAACCAAGTTGTTTCTCACACTATGCACAGCCAAAAATGCGATTCCAGTGATGCAGTCTTGTTTGATCAGTTAAACATGAGTTCAACATTTAATGACAAATATTTAGACAGTATTTAGAAAGTCTTGTAAGATTTCGTTTATAGATTTCTTTGTTATTTTATTGACTTTTTTAAAATGTATAATAAATAATATGAGTGATTAATTAGGGTCAGAATATATTGTGATTTCTGTTTGACGTAGATATCGACAACGACCCCAACAGTGCGCCACCGTGCGACCCTTCTCAGTGTGTGCTGCCTGACTGCTTCTGCTCAGAAGATGGTACTGTTATCCCAGGTGATCTACCCGCCAAAGATGTCCCTCAGATGATCACCATTACTTTTGATGACGCTATTAATAACAACAACATAGAATTGTATAAAGAAATCTTTAACGGGAAACGTAAAAATCCAAATGGCTGCGACATAAAAGCTACATACTTCGTTTCACACAAGTACAGCAACTACTCTGCTGTCCAGGAAACTCATAGGAAGGGCCATGAAATCGCCGTACACTCAATCACGTAAGTTATTCATAATCAACTTTACTACATTCTACACAAGGACACTTTAAACATTTAAAATTACTTACTCTCTGATATAAAAGTTTACTATTTCAAAAGTGAAAATTTTAAATATTGAGATTATTTAGAAAAGGCCTATCTCCAGCAGTGGACTGTGATTGGCTGTTGATGATGATGATGATAATTACAATTAGCGAAACTAATGTCATATGTACACTTATTATTGAACCAATAAATGTCTCTCTCCGGTCATACCAGCTATACAATATTGCTATGCTTATGTCAATGTTTTTCATATAGGCACAATGACGACGAACGCTTCTGGAGTAACGCTACAGTCGACGACTGGGGCAAGGAGATGGCTGGCATGAGAGTTATCATAGAGAAGTTCTCTAACATTACGGACAACAGCGTAGTAGGTGTACGAGCACCGTATCTACGTGTCGGTGGTAACAACCAGTTCACTATGATGGAAGAGCAAGCCTTCTTGTATGACAGTACCATTACGGCTCCCTTATCAAACCCACCCCTATGGCCCTACACTATGTACTTCAGAATGCCGCACCGCTGCCACGGTAACTTGCAGAGCTGTCCTACCAGGAGCCATGCCGTCTGGGAAATGGTAATGAACGAACTTGACCGTCGCGAGGATCCCAGCAATGATGAATATTTACCCGGATGCGCTATGGTTGACTCATGTTCCAATATTTTGACAGGAGACCAGTTTTATAACTTCTTAAACCACAATTTTGACCGTCATTATGAACAAAATAGGGCTCCATTGGGACTTTATTTCCATGCCGCATGGCTTAGAAATAATCCTGAATTCTTGGAAGCATTCTTGTACTGGGTCGATGAAATACTTGAAAGTCACAATGACGTGTACTTCGTGACCATGACTCAAGTAATTCAATGGATTCAAAATCCTCGCACGATCAGCGAAGCTAAGAACTTTGAACCCTGGAGGGAAAAGTGTGCTGTTGAAGGTATTCCCGCCTGTTGGGTACCCCACTCTTGCAAGCTTATCTCTAAGGAGGTGCCCGGGGAAACCATAAACCTGCAGACATGCTTGAGATGCCCAACCAACTACCCATGGCTTAACGATCCTACAGGTGACGGCCATTATTAAATAGAGCCATGATCTCAAGTCTCTCGAGCTCTAAGTAGTTGATATAAAAATTCAAAAGTGTGATTTACTTGGATTACATATTTGCTGTTAGGAAACCATTGAATTATTTGGCTCAAATACACTTAAATTAAGCAACTGTGAATATGTTTTCCAGTGATTCCAAAATGTACCGGGTCATAATCCCGTCCGTAGCCTAAGTACCTACCTTACTATATGTAATATAAATTCACATAAATATTTAATATGTCTGTTTAATAGTTTATGTGATTTTTCTAATGTAAGTCTGTTTTATAAATTTATAAAAAATATAAAACATAAAAATTTGCTACATTGTTTTTATTATCACCCAAACAATACAACTTTCAACGATGTCAGTGACACGCCAATGACGAAAGATTGAACAATCATAAAAGAAACAAAAAGGAATGATTGCTCAGACATCCACATGTTTGTGAGATCGACTTGACCTATTAAGATCTTTGCAATTTCTTGGGTCAAGCGTAACTGTAGCGGAGTAGTCACTTTAAAGCGTGTTTAAACCGGCACTTTAATATACTTACCCCAATAAAAATACTTTACACTCAGTCACAATTCTTAAACCAAGAATTATTAATAATCATTTTACATAGACTCTATGATGAAAAAAGTCTCACTCAAATAACTCACGATTTGTACACTAACTAAAGGTTGACTGGGAGAGAATGCCTTGGGCATTAAGTCCGCCGATGTACAAATGTGCATAAAGTTATAAATAAATAAATAAATTAAGAAGTCCGGCTGCCATTACATTCTTTTTATAATATCATTGCAGTAATGACTGAATAACAACCATGATAATGTATTAAAACTATCTCCCTATCAGCTCATGGCCCATCCTATATTAAATGATACTGGCCCGTGATAATGGCCGATTCACTGTCCTATTCGTTCAGCTCAAACTTTATCATTGAAAACTTTTTTATCTAGATTATCATACTTTAAATGTCACCGCACGGAACAAAATATTGTTATTCACTTTTGACTGATTGTTTTACAATTAATGTACTGTCATAACTTTTTTGGCGTAATTTACAGTTATTTAAAATAAGTTAAAAATTAAATATGTAGCGATAGGAACCTCATCCATCACCGTGCAAAAACACTGAGATATTTGCTCAACGGTCACTGACTCGCCATGTTAATATGAACATTTATCTGCTAATGTATGATGTAGGGATTTGGAGTTGTAGACGCTTTAGTAACAAGAATTCTTCATTGTTACCTTATAGTTATAGTTCCGTACATATCAGTAAAAAACGCTGTAAAAAATATAATTTTTATCCTGAACGGTAAATATCTATTCAGTATTGAACTCTCTATAATGTCTTCGTTTAATAGGTAACTGGGTCTGTAATCAGAAATTTTCTTCCTAGATTACACGTGTCATCGCCAACCCGTGTTTCGACACAGCTTTTGGTTTTACCTCATGTGTAAATGTGTGATTCACTGATCACCAGTACATAGTACGTACAGTACACATAGTACAGAGTATATCACGAACGATAAGTGGTTTGGTCTTAAGTTTAAGTGTTTGTCTTCGACTGTGCCGAGATATTTGCTTATGTTAAGAAAGTTTATAAATGGACATTTAGTCACATAAAGTCAGATTAGAAACTGTTTTGATTTGAAGATTGTCGATTTGCAGATTTGAAGATATTATTCTGATACTTGGAACATTTTAAATCCAGGCGTCGTTTATAAGCACTAGAAATATGTAAAATAGTAAGCCTCCTATATTTTGTGTGCCAAATGAAAAAGTTTTCTCTTATTTACGCAAATTTTAGGAACATAAAAGTCAAATTTATAGAAAATAGTTCAAACTGAAGCAAAACGTTAAGCAAAGTTTATTTACAGCTAAGCTTTTTACTTTAGCTCCGTGATTAACACAATTTTCAGTCTTTGTCATCAACTTGCTGCTAGTTCTAGGCCTCTTCTCTGTAGGCGCAAAACTTACAAACCTTATCATTCAGTAAGAAGTTCATTAGGTAAAAGATACAGATCACTATTATTTTTATACCTCACCTTTTTTATAGCCAAATGATGGAAAAAGATTGAGCCATTATTTCAGTTCATTCGTCTGTATATGTTTATAAATAAGTAAATATATATATTTAAGAATTTTAAACGAACACTAAAAGTAACAAACCCACCTACCTATATTATATATCAGTCTTGTAAATGTTCGTTCGTATTAATCGTTTCGAAGGAGACAACTGTTTGCCTACCTGAATGCGGAGTCATTAGCCTTTCGTGGAAAGTTTTTATATTTAACTTAATACCCAGCTACATTTGATTCTTCGGTACATCGATCACCACAGGTTGAGAGATGAGGCAATAAGAAAAAAATGCATTAGCGATTTGAAAAGGGTATTGACCAAGCGATGGTCCGTTAGATGCAATGCACTATGCCGATGACTTTAAATAAGCCATCAATATAAAATGTAAATGACAATCAGTGAATAGTTTGCCAATCGCTCAATTAATATTATTACGATAAAAGAGCAACAAAAATTCTAAATAATACTTGGGGCACGAATTTGCTATGAATATTTTGTGCGACCTTCATTGTCTTTACCTGCTTAACATTCTGCAAAATATTGAATGCATGTGAGGATAATATTAAGTATTTGTACGAATGTAGTTTAAGCCACAAAATGACAACGTTACTACATTGGCGTGTCAAAATGTCACCAATATCTATGAGTTTGACACATCGTAGTGGTATGCCTGCGTGACAGGCTGAGCGCCGAACAATAGGTGTCGGGCGCCACCAACACGTTAATCTCCCTTGACATCAGTGGGCGGTTACTTGCGTTGCACATCATCACCTTCATCTATATCGGTATATATCCTCAACTCCATAACCAACTTTCCATTTTGTTTTGCAACACGTAGCATTTATTGAATAAGGACAATGAAAAACAATTGTATTGTAAGCGGCATCTAAAAAATAGAGAGTTGGAACAGCGCTCACCGCTGATATTAGGCATGGTGGCACGAGAAGTGCTGCAGCTTGCGACAGTGAAAGCAGTGAAAGTCTTCTTCAGCCTCGTCACCGTGCGTTCGCACTCATAGTAGATATTTATTGTTAACACCTATAAAGTGACAATATGTCATATGTAAGTAATAGAAAATACATATTGTATATGTCACTGAAATATATAAATCTATATATTTTCGGGTTTCAGAAACTTTATTCTCATTAAGAATAACATTCACTTACATGAGAACATAACTATACAATATACAATTGACAATATATTTATATGGAGCGGCAAATCTAAGTAGTTAATACAAAGTAAAAAATAAATAATTAACTTTGAGGGTAAGTGTGAATACTTTTGCAAACTAAAATATTGTAGAACTTGTTCTGTTATCGCAGAGTACAAAGATCAAGGGTAGCTAGACGTGGTATGCATAGTGTGTATTAATTAGTGGAGCGTTGTCTAGTATAAGTTCATTTGATGTTATTTATTACATGATTTTATAATAAAAATTTATACCTCTTGATGTTCTTTGCTTCTTTGATAAGTTTTGGTAGCATATTATACATTTTTGCTCCCTGATACAAAATAGTTTTACTCCCGTAGTTTGTGCGAGGTTTTATTAAGTTTATGTTATTGGCAGACCTTAGTTTAATTTGTTGTGTTAATGTTTTTTTACTAAAATTTATTTTATGATTGTATAGTTTTCATGAGTATTTTTCTTACTAATATGCAATTATAGTAGTGATAAGTTTGTGATAAATTCGTAATTTTTGTGTCTTTATAATTTTTTAAGAAGGTGTCTAGAAATCATAGTTAAAATGCCTTTTTATTAATTTATTTTGTGCGATCTGTAGCTGAGCCAAGTTAGTTAGAGCAGCTGTGCCCCAGATTTCTATTAAATAATCTAGGTGTGGTTTAATTAAAGAGTTATAATATAGATTAACTTAATAGAATGAGAAATTTGTTAAATTAATTAAATGTTCAACAAATTTTTATTATACCTATATCTAATACTAGTAGTGGTTAGGTCGATCCATTTTAATACTTGTTCCAATCAAAATGCAAAGGTATGCCGAAATAATAATGTAGGTAATATCAAAGTGGGATTGCATAATTTGATCCTGAATCATTTGTAGCCTTGGCCGCCTTGCTTTTTATGTAGGCACTGATGATAAATACTTCTTGGAATATTTTTTGATCTTAAAGCCACTTAGGTACTTATCTATTTAAACTTTTAAAAGCTAGTATACTAAGCTTGGGTGATTAATAAGGCAAAATAACATCTAAAACTCAAACACACTTGCTATTGTTTTTGTGTGTTCATAATAAAGCCAAACCATTAGTAATAATAATAAGCTTTGACAGGTTAATTTATAGTTAATATGGCAAAGATATACACGCAGATTGAAATAATTGAATCTAGAACCTTCTACTTTTTAAATCGATTAAAAAGTCACCAAAGGATGAAAATTAGTTCATAGGAAGTTCTTGCAGAAAATTTTCGAATAAGAGATGCTAGAAATTTCTAATTTGATTTGCAACTACTATATTTTTTAGCTTTGTTGCTATATAGTCTGTAAGAAACAAAGTTACATTTTTAATGATTTCAAATGTGGATGGACAAGTAGTTAAATTTACTTTAATGAAAACCGTGTGCTATACACGTTAACCTTTAAAGTTTTTCTTCGTTAATTTATTATTGGCTGGCTAGATATGTAGAAAAAGTGGTTGCGCTTTGATGGCCATCATAGAAGGTTGTACATATAAATAGTCCAAATTTCTTGAAAACTTCTTTGCATATTTACGACATTATTACAGGTAATAAATATTGGATATATTTATACAATGAAAATAAAAAACCTAGATCGCTAGTTTTTTCATGGACGGAGTAACCACTATCAATTCCCTAACAAATTTTCCAAATACTACACAGAAGAAAATCTCTTTTTTTAAGTGTTGTTTTTCTAGTACTAA